TGGGAATCAAGTCAAAATAATGAATGACTTGCATTTTCAGCCCAACAACCGTCGCATCAAACAAGGCACAGGAAAGCCCAAGAATGTAAGGATAGTTCCGTTCCAGATGAAACGTAATGAGGTATGCATTCGTCAGTACAAAACCGTGTAAGCCATACCTGTAACTAATCCGTGACGGAGGTACCCAGGGATACTCGAAACCGAAGCCTTCTGCTAGCCAAGGCCTAATCCCCAAGGTAGCGGGCCGTGAAAAGATCGGGATTTAGTTATGTAACCTATCTACCCCACTGTTTCTTGCAGCCCGAAACAATGTGAACCATATGGCAGACGTTCAGACATTCGTAGAACGTGATCCAACCACCTGAGACGATGCAGCGAAATGGTTTTGCTCAGCGGAAGACGATCTGACCCTAGCACACCTTGTCTGATCTTATCATTATTCACGCGATGCTCCCACCGTATGCGGTTGTCGAAGACTGATAGTCGTCGGACATGATCTGCCCACAGAGACCAAGTTTCGCAGCCATAGAGAAGCATGGTACGTACCGTTGCTCACACCCTTTCAGTGAAAAGAATATATCGTTTCGGCGCCACAGATGTCGCAGATTAGCAACCTAGTCTTGATTACACGTCGAGAGATCTCACCACATCTCCGCTAGGTAGACAGCCTTCGACTACTAATTCTAGAGTGTGGTTACCCAACCAAAGTGCAAGAGCAGGTTCCTGCCAATATTGCAACAATACCTTGCATTTCGGAGGTGCAAAGGATTAAATTGTAACGGAGTTCATTATATGATTGATGAGAACTGGTAGTGCATCAGATCACACGTTTAGTCGGCAGACAAGCCAGAAGACAACGCCTTAATTATAGGATTTAATCGACCAAAGACGAGGCGTGAGAGCTGAAACGGGACAGCCGAAATGTTAGAATATGTGCCCAGAATAACAGCAATCTATGCAACAGAAAGGACAATAATAAATTTTCAACAATGCCATAGTGAGTAACCTCAATTGGCAAACGCTTCTGCGAGTATTGAATCGTCGAAGTGTTGTTTCCAGGTAAGGCAATATCATCGAAAATTGCTAAGGGTACGCATTTCTCTCCAGGGCGGAGATCGATGCCAGTGTTAAGTAACGCTTCTTGTAGAACATCATCTATGGCAAAGTTGAAAAGAAGCGGAGCAATAGAGTAACCCTGTCGTACCCCGCTGGCTACAGGAAACGAGAGTGAAAGTTCACCATAGGCCCTAACCTCCCCCGAGGTTTGACGGTAGAAGCAGAATATATATATATATATATATATATTACTGGCTTGCGAGCAAGCTTGGTGCCAGCGTAACAAGAATAGCAGAACATGGGGGTTGGGATACATGGCAGAGTAAAAGGGGGGGGGCAAGCAGTCAAATTAAAAAAACTTCTGGGGTACTTCGTATCTCAGTAAACTGTTCCATAGCGCAGGCCGATTGATGGAGTCGAAGGCTGTTCTTNAAGCACGCTTTCGTGCACCCACCTATACACTCTAGTGAGTTTTAAACAAATGGGGTTTGTTTGATTCTTATCAACTCATTCTATGTAGTCCCTATTTTATTTATCATTTTCATACAACATTCCCTCGTAGTTTAATCTCTTGGTAAGGTTACAGCACCTTGCCACGTCACGTAATCGATTGATAAAGAATATATTGCTTACTGCCAGACGTCTGTGGCTGGAGCTCAGTTCTGTTTTATGATTGTGAGACCTTGAATTCACTAGTGTTGTGAAATACTACTTACTCACTTGTGAGCAGTTCCCCAGGAAGATGCGATTGGTGGTTTATTTCAACGGTAAAAAAGACCACCACTTAGAGCGAATTGTTGTGCTCGAAAGAATAACTGCGGACTGTTCCATTCATTCCCCTATGTGCTACCGGGAATTGTGATATGTTTCAAATGAGATATCTTGTTATATGTATGCCAAATTCTCGATCTCCTACTTGTAATCTGCAATGAGCAACTTCCCTCGACTGGGCACGGCCTTCCGCAATTATAACATTAGTAGAAGATAACCGTCGAGTAGAAGTTTTCGATTATTGGTGTTCACATGGGATGGAGTGAACGGGTTAGCAATTCGGAGGTGAGTCGTCGTGTGTGGGAGTTTATCTTAAGTGTTGGAGCATCAAGTTCAGATCAGTAGACTTTGTTGGTTAAAACACGTATTGCGTATTATATTAATATTATCATTGCTATTCAACACCAATCTTTATAAATACGGCGCCAATATAACAATTGGAATCAGATGTATGCACCCGTGCTCTCACGAAAGCTTCTCCACCAGGTTGTCTGGTCCAGGTGTGTGGCGTTAGAGGACTTGAGATTATTTTCGGATCTCCGGTTCTGTGAATAGTGACCATTGTGCACTCTCAAGAGAACTGCCCGAGGCAGCCAGCGCAGGGGCTGGTGGAACTGCGATGTGAGGTCCACTGCCCAGTGTTCGAAGACAGTATTTTGGAGTACTGTCTACCTCGAAGATTGTTTCATAAACGCAGTCTTTTTGAGTCCGTAGCATGGCTGAGTTTAAACAGCTTCCGGGTGTTTTCACAGTTAGCTGCTGATTCCATCTTGTTTGCACGTAGCGCCCACTAGGCTTCTCGTTCGTCTCTCAAGCTCTTTGTGAGCTCACGCTTCCGAGAGAGGTGCTGTTCATTGTACTCGCTGTTTGGCGAGATCGCTCGACGGGTTTCAATAAATCGGAGAGAGATTTGGAGGAGACCCAATGTTTTGCAACTCGACAGATCAGCCCACGACTGTGTAAACTAGCTGAGTGCGTTGCGTTTCGAATGGTTGTCCTCTGTTTATCTACACTCCTTGTGACCAACTCGTTTTTTAGTTGGATAGCACGGCCGTATCAGAAAGCTTGGAGACGCCAAGTTGTTTGCATCTCATCTTTTGTGACCACCAAATCGTATAGACAACTTGGCACAAATCAATGCGTGATCGGTGTCCGAGCGGGCAGCAATCTTTCGCACTCACTCTCCATCTGTGGCTAATAGCTATATAATCAATGTGATTCCATATGTGCTGAAGAGAGGTTACGCTACGTGGCGAAGCGACGCTTTGGGTGTCTGAAGTTCGTTCTAACGAGGCACGGACTCTGTCCTGAGCATGTGTTAAGAAGTCTATTCCCATTATCTTAACAACAGCTGTCACGGCTCTGATGCTGATCAAGATGGGTCTCATCGGGTGACAGGCGGCCAACGCGTAGGTTTCCTTGCAGAATCACAATACCCGTCTTACATGCTTTCCACATGAGGACTCTGATGCAGGTGGGCCAACAAGCGTGTCTGGTACGTACACTAAATTCTTTGGCGATTGATGTTTTCTGCGTATCGGAGCCGCGAGTTCAGGATCTCAGTACTATAAGCCACTCAAGTACACTAGGTCTGTCCTGTATTTCCCGCGCACATCAGACGATGAAGCCTTCTCACTGGGTCAGCTTGAAGTAGGAATCGTACCAACAGGTTGGTTGGAGAAATTGCAAGATATGGCGCGAACCAATAGCAGTGACGTTCTTGTTGTCATTTCTTATCAGGCCAGAATTCTGGAAACGGTATGTATGCAGAGTTCCATTGTGCGCGTTGTGTTGACCATAGTGGTTCACCTTCCCTCTCTCTCAGATTAGGTTCATTCCCTGCCCACCTTAAATTTTACCACCAATCTTGTATGCATTGCGATTTTGGCAGCGATCAGTGAGGTTCGCCTCACTGTATTTCGCTATGCGATGATGATGATGATGGTGATATGGCCTTGCCCTAACAACCCTTCCTCCATTCACGTTTGTTTATTTTGTAATCCACTCCCAAGCATCATGGTGGTGGTGGCGCAGTGGTTTAGTCGCTGTCACCGGCGTGCTTTGGTCCCTTTGGTCCGAGGTTCGAGCCCAGCCACCNGCCTCCTCATGGTTGGTTTGAAATCAGGGTGTTTGGCCTACTCCCTTAGGTGAACTACCAATGGTCCACCAACCCGGTTATAGCCCCGGATATTGGCTTTCCGTCCTTTCACTTTGCAGGGAAAACCCCTCCACCACGAGAGGGCAGTGAGTAGGGCTTCCTCAGCAGAGGCTACTTGAGACGTTTGATCTTATGGGAGCATTTCGCGAGTTGCAAGGCAGAGTGACCAGCCACAACCCTAGACACCCACCCCCAACCATACTGAGGCTTTTGGAGGTTATGCTAAAAGTCTATTCCCATTATCTGAACGACAGCTGCCAAGGCCCTGATGGCCACCAACATCGGTCTCATCGGGTGACAGACGGCCTGCGCGTGCGTTTAGGTTTCCCGCCAGAACCATTATATCCGTTTTGGATGCTTTGAGAAAAAGCTCATGTAAGCTATGATAAAAGACATTGGACTGTATTCGGACTACAGTCTATGGGAGCGTATGCAGAAATCACGAATAAACACCATTTATTTACTTTCTGCTCATTGACTTCACTTAAACCTCGGAGTCTCACTGTGCATAGGCGACTGGATACCGGTATCCAATCCAATAATGCAGTCTCGGCCATGGTGCTTAAAAAAATACCAACGCCCGCTTAACCAGATGCTGATGCGACAGGGACCCCGGAAACACGCAAGTGAAGCGCATCCTTTGGGTTGGAAGGAAACGTCAATCGGGTTACTGAACTCGGATCCTGAATGCCTTTTTGTGCCAGATGCAACACATGATAATCTCTAGAATTTCGAGCGTACGAGTCAAACGTGCTTGTTGTCCTATACGCATTAAGGTTCTCACATAGAACGAAGCCATTTTAACCGCAGATTGAGGTCGTAGAAATGGAACGGTGGACTCCGAGTGACACAGCACTGCTAAGACAGATATATCGAGGAGCGAAGCGGCGATCTACAGCATGAGCTTACATCAGAGCAACCACTTGAAGTGCGTATGCCCAGTTGTCGTCTACCGCACTGCCCTCCGAGTTGGAGGAAACAACGTGGAGGTGAACAGAGGACGTGCAGACGAAGCATGAAGAAAGACACAGAGCTTTTGCGTAAAGTAGTTATCTTGCGCCTTCCTGTTTGGGTCCGAAAGCCTGCAAGTGGCTGTTTGGATGGTGTGGATGTTATCGTTGTTGTTGTTGGTGGTGGTGGTGTGCTTTCGACTCTAAAGACCGAGGTTCGAACTCTATCACCCACGTTCGTCGCTGTAATTCGGCCTAATATCACGAATACATATCCTAACGGGGTTTCCTTTGGTTCGGCATTCCACGTGCGTTATTATGAGCGAACACTAGATCCTCTTGACAGTGGTGTCAACCCCCTACATGTTCCTCGAACAATGATGTATGATGAAGAGAAAACATCCCAAACATAACCCAAGTTCCTGTTTGAATTAAACGAAAAAGCGGTCTGGTGAAAACGAACGAAATGTTACCAGAATAGAATAAAACCGATAGATAGTAGTAGTAGTTCCTCAAGGAACATGCGTAGCAGAAATACAACAGATTTGGAATGAACTTTTACAGGGTTTGGTTTCAAATTGATCTATGATATGGTCCTAATTTTTCTCAGTTGGAATGCCATTGAATGGTTGCTGATATCCAGAGATAGTTCGGATGAGATTCGGACCTCCAGGTCGCTATTTTGATCAACTTAGCCACTTGGCCATTGCCACCTAAAAACAGCGATCCGGCCATTTCAAAAGGGATTGAGAATTAAATTTGTTTTCTCTCTCAGAGCTCACCGCGGATCGAAAATAGACACAATGTTGCTTTTTTGTGTGTGTATTGAACAGATTGGTTGTACAGTAGTCGTTTTTTTCGCCAGACGTTATAATCTCCTCACTCGTTCGTTATCATTGCAGATTCATCTCAGCGGTGCTGACGAGCCAGTTGATTCCAAACCGTTGATAATGCCCCTGGCTCACGCTTTGGCGATAGAAGTGGTTGGTCTCGGTGAACAGCAAAATACTACCAAGCCCAGTTTAGGCATAACTGCCTCATCTGGATGTAAGTCACTTAAGAATCTCCCGTTCTTTTTTTTGTTAAGGTACTTCAGACTGTACCCCCGAGTGTCGGATTGATGCATCCACTGTGCCTGTTTTTTTATGCCGGGGAGAGGGTTATAAGATACAATGCTCAAAATATAGTATACGACGAAACTTGTTTTGTACTTGTATATTCCATTGGAACGTTCATGATTATCGGTTGTTTGAATTGAATGCAATTAAAAAAAATTCAGTTGATGATAGTATGAACAGTTAGTGGCTTCTTTTTTAATCTTTTGCTTGTAGTCAACTTTCACGAGCGGCCGAGTGGAGCGATGAAGAGAGAACGGGGAATCGGGCGACCGTGATAAAATTGGAACATTTTTTTTTAATTACATACACTTGTGTCGTGGCGGGGCGAACCCCATAGTCACGAGGACCTGTTGCTCAATGATGTGAGCCGCTAACCTAAGCCCCGAAGCTTGGAGTGGCGAACCACATAAGGCTCGCTAGGTTTGGGCGTGGTGTAGAATCGGATAACAGCAAGGCTGCCTATCACCAAAGGTGGGTGGCGGGACTCGAATCCGTCGGACCATACGGTCCAAAGCACGCTAATGACAGCAACTAAACCACTGCGTCACCACCACTCATGTCCTGTGGATCGATCGGTTCATGAATGATATTACTCGACTGTGTAGAGTAAATCATTTCACCACGATTATTGAATCTCAATTGTCCAAATTATTCACCCGTCTGACTTAGTGGCTGCAGTTATGGATTCACCAGTGCAGCTACCGAGATCCGTAGAATATCTGTTTGCTCGCCTTCAAGCCGTATTTCGCCGTCGGTTTTGATCGTATTTGGGTTTGTCCGACTTGATCGATTTCTATCTGTTTGCTTATTCATTCAGACCCCTGTACCACTGAGCCCGGTGCTCCAAGTACTGTCTCTTGGTTCAAGATCAGATAAAACCGGTTGAACGATTGGCTCCCGCTCCAACGGTTGTTTGGGATTCTTGCCTGTTGTAGTATCATCAGCGTTGAAACAGCAGTTTAGACGCTCCACAGTTTATTCAGTGTAAAACAGTCCCGGTAAGTTCGATTGGGCAATACACTGAATGAAACGGGTACAGGGTCGAACGTTTAACGCTTGACGGTCGATGCGGTCAGTAGCCTCACGATAAGAAATGTGCTAGTCAAGTAGAATCATTTTCCGTTTTCGGGTCTTTGTTGTTGGTGTGTTCTCCGAGCTGGAAGTGTTGTTCGCAGACGTTTCATATCCAGGTTAAGCAACATCATCGGCGCAACTTTGGGGAAGCGCCAGTCTTCAGTGTGACGTCTGCGAACAGCACTTTCAGCTCGAGAAACAACAACAACAACAACAACAACAATAACAACAACAACAACATCATCATCAACAACAACAAATGTATACAGAGCTACAATCATTCCACATTATGTCGGTTCATTATTTGATGAATAAATGAGTGCACCGACAGAAGGGTTCGATGATGAGGAACGGTTAGAGTGGAGAGATTACGTTTATTTTCTTTAAACGCTTTTATGTAGGTAGCTATTGTTCCACATCGTTTGTTCAGGTGTTGTTGTGTCATGCTTCATAGGCATTTGTTCTTCACATTCTATTCTCTATCTCCATATCTCCGTATCCAGATAGTCTCCCTGCTGGTCAGTTCTGTTGTCCAGACGGTCTCTTCGCCTGTTTACCACCATCTGAGACTATTCCAATCGGCAACCGCACTTGGTCTCAACGCATTTGTCTACCCCAGAGTCTGCGTTGCGATGGAGTCGTAAATTGTCCCCTGGGCGATTCGGACGAACAGAACTGTTCCGATCCACTACCGGTTGAATTTCCTCCAATCCCAGTTGATGAATCTGAACAATTTGTCACATATTTGCGCACAGTTCGTCCGGTTCGATTGATCACCGAGGCCGGCTATGCCTCACCTCCGTCACCCGCTTTTGGCATTGTCATTCATCAAGCTCAGGCGGCCTGGTACAGTCTGATCGTTTCGGCGGCACTCATACTTGTAGTCTTATTGATCTGTTCCATTTGGCTTTTACGTTCCGTGTGCAAGCGTCGACCGATGAAAAGATTGATACCGTTCCACAACAAATGGCCTCGAAAATTGTCTGATTCCGGACCCAGTTCGATCTGTCCTCGTTCACAACCGACCGATGAGTATGGTGATGATGAAGATAACGAGGAGGAGGATGCTCAATGGATCAAAGGGGGAGATTCGTTTCATTGTGAACAATCGGATTTACTCATCAATCCGTCCCACGGTATCTCACGTCATTTACCAACCGGTGTGAATAGAGTTTCTTCCGCCCGGCCTAATCAACCCGGTACGGATTCCGCGTCACGGTCGTCAGCCCATTGTGCATTTACCGGTATGAATCCGAACTCTTCTGGCCCGGTAAACAAAACGTCTCCGACAGATGCGACTCACAACGAGCTCGTTATGTCCTCGTCCAAAAATACCGCAAACGGTGGACGATACACCGGTTGGATACCACTATCCTCTTCCTCGCGTCCCGCATCTTCTGTTGCCAGTGTCACCACTTGATTTTAGTCTTATTGTTCGTATAAATCATTATTCCCCCCCCCTCCCCACGCCGGCACATTACTCCTCTCTATTCGCCGTTCCTCCTCATCCAACCCACCGTCTCTTTCCATCGACTCTTACTTTTTCCAGATTATGGAACAATTGTACATTGTCATACTAGACATTTACCGCACCCCCAACGCACACATTCATCATTTTTTTTGTATGAAGGCAACAACGCTCATCATCTATGCCAACCATCTCCGAC